AGAAAGAAAAAAATGAAAAGAAAGAAAGAAAGAAAGAAAAATATTCCTTCTATCAATCATAGTAGGTCTAGCTTATTTATACAAACGATGTACTTAGACACTTCGTTTAGTCACCAATACCATATGATTTCACCCAATATTTGCAAAATTTGTCTAGACTTGACGGGTATGGTCAAAATCGCCCATCCGGTAGTTTGTAGTACTAATACCTTTTTTATTTGACTGATCGACTTTAGGTGATAGAATRTCGATATTCCTGCAATAAGGCAGTAAATGACTTAGTTTGAAGGCAAACCTCACGCGATTTGGGGTTCCTGTGGCATGGGGTTCAAGAACAGCTTTTTTTTTGATATGGACCTTCCGTTTCCACTGCGGAAGCTGATAAATCCCAGTATTCGTAAGCTTTTCTTTTTTTGTTTGTTGAGTTTTTCTTTTATTCTTCCTTCCTTTCTTTTCTCTTTTCTCTTTCGCTCTCTCTCTCTCTCTCTCTTCCGCTTGCACCTGCTTTTGTTCCCTTCTTTTCGTTCCTCTATCATAATTTCTTGTTGTTCTTCTTGATTTCTCTCATATTTCAGCTTTTGGCAGCAATTGGTACATCGCTTATTGTCACTGTTCCAAGAAATAATTAGTTTTCCTTTTATCTCTTAGACAATCCTCTTAAACTCAACTAATAAAATTTTAAGGAAAGAATCATGTTCCAACCCTTGCATCGCTGCATCATTCTCTTAGCAGTGCAGTTTGACGAAATTCCAGCAAAAACATTATCATGCAGTGCGTCCTTGGATTGCATTTTTTCCAGTAAGGACAAGGACTTAATTCTTGAAAAGTATTATCTAAGTTACACAACAATATTTATTCATAGTTCCTTAGATACGGGTACGTGCCTCACTAGCTGGGAATGTTCTTAGAATATATCAGGATTCGACTTTTTGACTATATTATCTTGATTATCCTAGCTTATCCTCAGTGATAATATAGGAATTCATGTGATTAGGTTTTGCAAAGTGAAAATAGAAAAATCCGTCATTTTTAGACAAGGGTTTACTGAGTGATATATTGCAATCAAAATGATTTCTTTAAATTCAGAAAGAAAGAAAAATGATTAAGTCATTGGTAACTATTGGTAACTCATAATTCTGTGAATTTAACCTACCTAGACTAGCTTTAGCTATATGCAGGTTATATAGTTTTTCTTTTTTGTATTCTTTTATTCATCAATAAAGTTAAAAGTTAAAAAGTTAAAGTTAAAAGTATTTTTAATTCAAATACGTGAATCTGATTTCTAGCCAGTCGAATACGTAATTATTCACGTATACAAAAGTGACTCTCCTAACTGAAAAAAGCTGTGAAAGTAAAAGGCATGGAATGAATGTTTACTTCTGCTCAGACGTAGTCACTACAGACACCCAGTATCGAGCATTTCCTTGAGAAGCCCTTGAGGGGGCAGGTGCTGGTTCAAAGTAAATCTGGCACTCCAGGGCTACATAAACCAATAAATGATCGAGTCCCTAACCAAGACCATCGCTATGACGTAGTCTAAAGCTAAACGTCCGTTCCATTCTAGTTCTTCCTAAGCTTGCTATGTGCGTATGAAGGAAGTTCACTTTGACAGGTACGAAGAGGTAATCGTCATTATGTCTGGCAGATGGCTTTTTGAAGTTCCTCCCTAGTTGTCAATATCGTAACTCAAGTTTTTACGTCATACACGTCACGACAAAACTAATTCTGGCCACTTCGTTTTATATTTTAAGTATATTTAAGTTGGATGTATACAGATTTTAATCAAGATCGATTTCATGACCAAAAAAAAACTAAGATAGCGCGCAAACATGGTGCTAAACTGGAGCTGTCGGAGCTCGCAGTTTTGAGAGGGGGGTGATGGTGGCGGTGGGAAGGAGAAGATGGAACCTGGCTAACATGCAGTAATTAACCAATCATGTTGCATACTTTAGAACTGTACGTTTTTATTTCTGGGATTATGCTTGTTTTTCACAAGCGACGCAAGGCAATCTCGTACCCAGAGACTGCGTTTCTTCTGGCCTGCGTTGAAGAACGAGGGCTCTGGCATAATCCATTTTTTGAGACCAGGATTTCTTGGACTTCCGGTATAACAGCGCATGCGTTCAAATGCTTGCCAAAAATTAAAAATATTTCCCCCCCCAATTTTTAATTCGTGCTATAATTTTTAATTTGATTTTGAGTTCGATTTAATTTTTACTTCGCTTATTTTGATCGTTTATATCTCACTTTCCGAAAATTGCGCATGCGCCAAAATATGGATTATGCCAGAGCCCTAGTTCTTCGCCGCAGGCCAGAAGAAACGAAGGCTCTGGGTACGAGATTGGACGCAAGGCACAAGCGAGCGCAAACGCAAGAGAGCACAAGGGTCCTTATTTCGTTGAGTGATCACAGGCTTACTTTGAGCAGTGCGTCGCTAACAAAAACCAGGCTTTACGCCACCGAAACCGACAGAAAGCGAAGAAATGCTGATTTAGGAGCTGGAAATTAATGACAGTAAAAAAAGCAAGATCATCATACTATTATTAACCACAGTTGACGTCATCAATGGTACACAAATGATTTTGTGGAATCATTAACATTGATCTGATAAAACATTCAATCGCACTATGACGCAATTAGGATCAGTAAGGATAAAAACACAAACACAGCAAAAGCAAGTGTTTTTATTTTGTAGAACTTATTTGGGCCCTCTTGTTTTTTATCTCTAATGATTGCACACGAGTAGTATGGGATCCCTGCTGCGTTGCTGATTGTGTGTGATAGACTCTGTAATAGACCGCTAGCGCCGGATTAGGTGGTTTTACTGAACCCGTTTAAATAGTCACCAGCAATTAACCGCTAGTCAGCTTAACGTTCAATAGGGAGTAGATTAAAGGTTTGATTCCTTTTCCATTGTTTCCTTTTGACCTCTATTAGTGTCTTATTGGCTAGTGTGAATTAGGAAGCACGTTTTGTTTCACCAATTAAGTAAAATTCCTCTAAGCATAGTTAATACCTAATAACTATGATCTAAGGTGAAGGTAAAGAAAAATCAGCTGATCTGGTAACTGATCTTGAAGGACTGAGACGATATGGTATACCACAGAGTGCGCCCTTGACCCCCTCACTACAACATTGCACCATTTTTTAAAGCGGGGTATTTACATGTAAGATAAGGCTACACAGATCAGAGAAAAAGTATTTTGAAACGAGCTATTATCGCCGAATCCCTCCTAAAAAAACAACAGAATAAATGCAGTCGCAGTTATGCGGCTTGGGTTTCACGGATGACGTCGTCAACGCAAGCAAACAAACGTTCTTGTGGACGAAAACGACTTTTCATTAACATTGCGCTCATGTATGTCCGCGTACAAAAACCTACGATAAAGAAAGCCCAAGACATTTAAAATACTGATCGATTTTAATAATTATTACTGTTATCGCTCTTGTTAATATTATCATATTATTTTAGGAAACCACAAGTATTTTTTCTTAAGATTACTCAATTCAAAATACTGTCAGTCGTATCCGTTTCGTTTACCGGACCTGATCTTTAGTGTCTTCCAGCTAATACCACAGGCAGCCCAAGCGCATCACTATACATTACTAATGGAATGGCAAGTGGGCTTGTTTTCTACGTGTGGGTTACCTGTGGTGTTGAAAATTGAGGGAGGATTTACAAAAGAGGTTGACAAAGATTCGGTTCTATATACAAAGTACTGTACTTCACCAGTATTTGATTCAATAAGCGAAAATTACTTCACAAACTTTGTCCAGGTTTTGTCATCCAAGTTACTTGGAACTGGATGCGTGCGCAACCTCCAGATGAAGTTCTAACTAAACTAAAGTTGCGGTAATAACGGTATTGGAACATATGGCGCAAGAATAAAGCTCATGTTCCTTGTGTTACACTGACTACAGGATCAACACGTTTTCTCTGTTGCAAATATTAAAGATTCTTTTTCGTATATGCAACAAAGAGAATTTGCTGTGTGCAGGAGGTTAATACCAGCAGCGTTTCCTCTCGATTTTGCAACGCAACAATGTTGCGCGACTTGTTGTATGATTATGTTGTCCGTAAAAGCGCACCTCATAGCGAAACATAAGAAAACATATAAGGACGAAAAAGATACTAATACAATCCTGAGTTGCGCACATTAGCGACGCAGACAAAGCTTGATGAAACTTTACTATATGACTAGACCTGGTTCTGGCGTTCAACTTTTAATGAGCAGAATTTCAAATGAATTTCAAATGAAGAGGAACGCAAAACCCAAATTCAAATTCGATTTTTGAGTAAGCCGTGACTCGACTTTGAACTTTCAGGGTATCGATAAATTTGAAAGCTTTTTCATCTGACAAGATATGGCCCAATTAAATGCTTAGAGCTCAAACCAGTCTTAATAAGTTAAGAATAAGGTACTGGATTGATTGGTCGTATACAGTCAAAAATCAATCCATTTTTTTCTCAAGTCACTGACAAAGGCCTGTAAGTAAAAAGGCCCCTGAATTTAAAAATGCAATTGGATAGCAGATATCGGAGTTACACTCTATTGCCTTCAGACAATTGTTACATTTGGCTCAGTTTCTATACATTTCATTGTATTGACCCAAATGCCTCGACTTGAAACGACTGTTTGAAGGCAACAGATTGTAACTCCGATGTCTGCCATTGACTATCCARGTTTCTGATTAAACTTTAGCACTTCTAAGCTTTAACTTATGGATAAACCGTGTATGAACAGTCTAAATCTATGATACCAAATGTACCGTGCTAGCAGAGGTCTTTTTCTGCCCTCCGTTCTGGTTGTAACTCGGGGAGAACAGCCTACTGTCAGCCATACAGAGGGGGAATAAATACCTCTGCTCGCAGGGTATACTAGATCATAGGCATTGATTCTGATTATAATGTTTAAAGAGGAATTGACTTTTGGTTCGCAAGTATTATCATATTCTGGACCTAATTGGAGATGACGAACACAAATCGCATTAAAGTAGTCGGTGTCAGAGTGAGTATTGAGAAATGCACGGCAATTTACTACACTATCAAATCAGGTTTTGAAACATAGTAGCGATGTATAAGCTATATTACATCTCAACCCTACCCCACCACCGGCAACAAAATTTCCCAACATCGTCATTGGTCAAACACTAAAATTATTCATTAAGGAGGTCTTATTAATTATGAATTAATAATTAATAAGTCCTCAATAATAAGTCAGTACTTTTAACGGGTTTTTTGAGTGTATTTTGATTCAGAGGCTGTATTGGTCGAATTCTTCAACAGACCTCTTTACCTTGGGCGTAATGTTTTCCCATTTCA